AGCTTTTGGCATCCCCAATCAATATTCTAAAATTTGCAGGATAGTCTCAATTTTAAACATAGCAAGCTCCAGGCATTATCAGATTAACCTGTAATAGTCCCTATGATTTTGGCATAACCGCAAAGAACTGTGATTTATTCATGAAATAGCTTGGAACTAGAAGACTCTCTAGAAGCTCATGTGTTGAAGGCTTGGTCTCCAGAGTGGTACTAGGAGGTGGTGGAACCTTAAGATGCAAGGCCTGGGAGGGGGTCTCCTGATCAATGAAGTCATCCCTCCAAGAGGACTGTGGGACCCCAGTCTCAGCCCCTTTCTTTTCTTGTCTCCCCCCCCCTAGCCACTTCTCTTCTTTTCTTTACCTCTGTTTCTCTTCTTTTTGCTTCCTGGTGATGAAGTGAGCAGCTTAGCTCAGTCACACACTCCCACCATGACGTGCTGCCTCAACACAGGTTCCAAAGGAATGGAGCCAACTCACATGGACTAGAACCTCCCAAACCGTGAGCTAAATATGGTATGCATTCCCCCACACCTCACTCTCATTTTGTTTCTCAGACAGGATCTTGTTACATATCCCAGGTTGTCTCATATCTTTCTGTGCAGTCTAGGTTGGCCTCAAATGTACTTTTCCTGCCCCAGCCTCTCAAGTGCTAGATTTATAGTTTGTACCACTGTGACCTCTCTAGTGTTTTAGCTTATTTAATTGTTTTGAGATGGGTCTCCCCATAACCCCAATTGACCTGGAACTTTCTGTGCAGACCAGGCTGATCTCAATCTCAGGGGTCTCCCACCTCTGTCTCCTGAATGCTGGGACTAAAAGCCTGTACCAACATGCCATGCATGTTTTATCTTTATAAGTAGATTCTCTTGGTTCTTTGTTATAGCGATGGAAAGCTAACACAATGGAGTTTCTGTTTCGAGGCTGACTTCGAACTGCTGTGAAGTGAGCACTGGAGCAACCACTCAGCAAGCCGGGTCTCAGCTGACCTCCCCGACTCACTTCCCAACATGCTGTACCCTTTTTGGGGTACAGAAGCAAGAATTCTTACAAAGTGCTAAAGGCATAGGAAAATGTCCTTTAAAAGAAGTCTAGGAGCTGGAGAGATGGTTCAGCGGTTAAGAGCACTGACTGCTCTTGCAGAGGACCTGGGTTTGGTTCCCAGCACTCATATGGTGGCTAATAACTGTAACTCCAGTTCCAGGGAATTCAATGCCCCCTTCTGACCTTCACAGGTATTGCATAGTACAGATGCACTTACATACATACAGGCAATACACTCATACACAAACAGTAAATAATAAAAAATAAAATATTAAAAAAAATATTCTAACTGCTGGGTCTGATGATGTAAAATAAATGAAATAAAAATCAGTAATTTTAGAGTGTCATGTCAAATTCAGTAGTTGCATATGTGATGTGCTAGGAATGGTCTCTGCCATTAAACTCTGCATGGAAACAACTAAAGGTGCTTTTAAGGCGCCTTCCATCAGGAAAGCTGCCTGTTTGGGTTTTTTAGCTTGAGGATTGGAAAAGGCCTTGAGATGGAACCCTTTCACATGCCAGAATTCCCAAGTGCAGCAGTTATTGTTTGGGGCTTCCTTTTATGGGGTCCTGGAGGGGGTGTTTGTTGCTAAGGGGCCACAGCCTGGGTGGTTCTCTGTTTTGATTGACAGGCTTCGGTTATATAAGCTTTTCTTCACTGTGCATGACCTGTCCCACAATGCCTCTAATTTTAACCATATACATGCCCAACTATGCATAGGTATAGTATGATAGAGGCTTTTCCCTAAAAACTCAGAGGATACAGTTTGCCTTACTGTGTACACATCCCAAATTGGTTCAGGCTGGATTGGCCCCTTGCTTCTAGTTCCTAGATAGGTTCAGGATGTGAGTGCAAACTATCACCATAGGGTTGTTAATGGAGGAAGCTTTTTCATTGTTTGGATTAGGGTATACAAGCAGCTGAATGCAAGGGGGGGGGTGTCCCAGGTTGCTAAGTACACTGTTAGAAAAGGGGTTGGGGTTGATCAAGCCAAATAGAATCCTGGTTTTCTAAGCTTTCCTTATGCTTGCCTGACTTACCTGGTACAGCACTATGTCATCCCAGCCCCAGCCCATCCAAATCATTGACCCTTAGGACTCCTGCCCTTGTGAGAGGTTCCAGTGTGACCTCCCAAGCATCACAGCTGTCCCTGAAGCATGAGCAGAGCCAAGGCTGATGGGCAGCAGTGAAGTGGAAATGGAACCAGCCTAGCATCACTTTCTCTAGTCTCTTGGGGCCATGGCTGTAATTGTCTCTGGCAGGAGTGTTGTGGTCAGTTTTGCTTATTTCTCAAGGATCAAAAGGCATTATTCTCCATCAATACCTGGGAGCCATTTTCCTGCCTGCACACCCATATCCCTCCATTCTAGCACAACTTTTGCTGCTGCTCTAGGCTCTGATTGTCCCACTTCCCAGGAACTCCATACCGCGAGATGAAGCCCAGTGTTTCTGGAGCCTGTGGCATCCCTCCTTCACCTCCCTTCGGCATCTCTGTGGATGTTGCTATCAAAGCCTAAACCCTGCTCTGCCCCTCTCTGGAACAGTAAGAGCAGCAGACATTGACACATAGGAATCTGGGTAGCAACAAGTACTTCAGGTATTTATTAAGCACATACTATAGTCCAGGCCACATCCTGGGTCTGGGACGTTACAAGTAAACAAAAAAGGCCCTGCCCTCAGGGCTCACAGTGGGGTGATCCTCATACATACCAAACACATTGGCAAATACCAGTATTGGCATGCATTTCAGTGGCAGGAATCTGAGGCCACATGGAACAGGAAGTTCGTGGTAGGGTAGGGAATGTACCAAAGGACCCCAGTGGGGGTGGGGTGAAGGAATTCAGTGGAAAAAGAAGGTTGGACAGGATGTGCATGTGGAAGGCTCCACATTGTTCCCAAGCCATGTGTGATCTGTTATGACTAGCGAGGGCAGGATAGGGGACATGGTCTTTCCTCATGGAGTTTATAGTCCAGAGGGGCAGATGTCCAGAGGGGATTTCCAACTCTCAGGAGGCAGGAAGGAGTAAGTGTTAGCTCTGAAAGGAAAGACATACTACCAGGAGTTTTCACTAAAGAGAGATGGGGGTAGGGGTGGGGACACAGGACTTTGAGTTAGAGAGATGCATGGAGGCTTCATGAGCTAGATTTCAGAGGACATGGAGAGTGGATGGGAAGGCATGGGAGAACATTCCAGATCAAAGAGGTAGAGTAGGATGTGGCTCATTTACATAAGGAGAGTTTCACTGCTAGGAGATAGGTAAGTTCAGATTCATGGATAAGAGGTGATCAAGGAGTTTGGGATGTGTGTGTCTGTCACAGCACAGGTAACACTTTAGGTTAGGTGCTGAGTCCTCTTCCATGTACTCAGCTGCAGCTGGCCTGGGTACATTGGATGTGGAGGAGGCTGAATGTGAGGCTAGGGCACTTACAACAAATGTTCTTTGGTTTCCATTTTCATAGCGCTTTTGCAGAAAAACATTGCAATTATAATAAGTACACAAAATAGAGTATAAAAATACAAATATATTCCTTTTAGGATTAGATAAATCCCTACAGGGGCTGGAGAGATGGCTCAGTAGTTAAGAGCACTGGCTGCTCTTGCGGAAGATCAGGGTTCAATCCTAGCACCCACACGGTGGCTAACAACCATCCATAACTCCAGTTCCAGGAAAATCTGATGGATGCCTTCTTCTGGCCTCTGGGCATTGCATGACACAGGTGCACTTACACACATGCAGGCAATACACTCATACACATAAAATAATAAAGTTAAAAAAACACTGCAAATTCAAAGAAATCACAATTACCTCCAAAGACATTTCAACAGATGTTGTCTCTTATGGTCATTAAGGGCAACCAAAGAAAATATCAGAGAAGCCCTGACATCTGTGGCCAGTGAACTTTCACAGCATCTTTATGAGGTAGATATTGTTAAGCTTACAGATGAGAACACTGGGGTACATCCAGGGCATAGCACGCTGGAGTTCCATAGCTAATAAGCAGTTCAATCAGAATTCAACATGCAGTTAGTGTGTAAAGTCCACATTTTTTCTACAATTGTGTAGCTGATATATGGGGTGTTCTAAGGAGGAAAGTACAAAGGCAGGTTAGTGTTAAATCACAGAAGGTCATCAGTACTAGATTGAAGGTCACATGCAAAAGCTGGTCATTGCCCACAACAGCTGGACTTGGATGAAAGGTCACAAAAGAGGAACTGCTTTATGGTCACAGTGATGGGGCTGTTGGCACTCAGCTTCTTTGGTGTCATCTCATTCCTAAGATGGAGTGAGACCAACTTCCAGCTCTGGCCTTGATTGTGTGGCCAGAGACGGGAACTTGATTTGGCTACTTGTGTCCTATGTAGTGTTCTGCAGAAAGCAAAGAACTTGTGATTACTGAACAGCCCATTCTTGAATTGAACACCACAGAGAGCTTGAAGGCACTGCGGCTTCTCCCAAGGTGCCCTTACCATCTAGGAGGCAGGTGGTACTCAGTAAGACAGGAGGGAATAGTGTTATTGGTTCTGAAAGGAAATCAATGGTAAGTGGGAACCTCTAGAGGCACTTGCAATTTTCTAGATCTATTATTTTCTATTTGGAGGTCAGCGAGACAAAACACTGGGTTGACATGAAAATCAAGTGATGGATGCTGTTTTCATAGTCAGAAAACGACCCCTCGGAAGGACCCCAAACAGTAACTTTGTGCATGTACAGCGGGAAGAGTTATTTGTGACAGTTGCAAACTGCCCCTTTGACTAGGAAATGGTTGTTATGGTTTGTAACTGAATGTGACTGTTTTCCTCCTTCCCTTTTTCTTTTTTTAGTATACATTTGGATAGTCTATGGAGAAACCAGCCAACATCCTGAAGGTCCGCAGGCCACCGTAAGTATGGCTGCTTCTGTAGGAACCCTCTAACAGTCTTATGTCTCATCAGCTGATATTGGGACATGGACCCCACCACCACGACAATGAGAGCACTACTGAGGTCAGACAGACACCGGCTCTGGGCATAACTGAAGGCTTCGAGGCACCAGCCATCCTTAAGGAAGTGTCTGCTCACCAGACAAACAGTTTTTCTGCTGCTCCAGATGGCAGTGTGGATGTTGGAAATGTGGTTTTCCCCTGGGATGAAGTCTCTTTCTTCAAAGCACAGCCTGAGCCTGTTTCGGTCACTGTACTGGGCATCCAGATGTTTGAGCAAAGCATTCTGTGCCCATGCAAAGTCTTTGCTACTGAAGCAAAAATAGGCATCATATTTGTATGTACCAGGGTCCGATCCCTGGACCTTGTCCTTGAACACCAGCCTCTGAATGGTCTTATAGCACATGAAACAAAACCCCCGGAACTTCAGGACTACAAAGGTGGCAACTAGGGACAGAGTCAAAGTGACCACACATAAGATGAAGAGGGAAAACTTGAGGTTCTGTAAGACTTTCTCTTCATCACAGTCCTCTGTGGAAATGTTGTAGAGGGAGCCCCCTAGCAGTGAGTTGGGGTACATGCAGTATATTTCTGCAGGAGAGCCAAACATGCTAACATTAGTTTGGTTGAGCCAAATGATAAAAGTGCTAAGCTCACATTCACAGATGAACTTGTTGTGAGTTATGTCCAAGGCTCTAAGTGAAGCAAATAAACTAGGATCAGGAGAAAAGAGCTGGTTTCTAGATACAGCTAGAATCTCTAAATTAGCAGGTAAACTGCCAGGAGAAAGAACTGTCAGCCTGTTATCACTCAGGCTGAGTTCCCTTAATGCGACCAACTCGCTAAATACTCCAGGTGGAAGGAAATTAAGGTAGTTATTATTCAGATACAGTTTTTGAAGGCGAGAAAGCCCCTTAAAAACATCCCAACAGAGGCCGTTCTCCCAGGCAAGCTGCAGCATGTTTTCTGCAAGGAAGAGTTCTTCTAAGCTGAGGTTCTCCGACGGGGTCTGACCTGGGTTACAGGAGGAAAGGCGGTTCTGATTTAGAATGAGAAACTGGAGCTGTGGGACTCGGAGGAGGAAGTAGAGGTCAGCCAGGCTTTCTAACCTGTTCTCTGATAAGTGGATTAAATTGGCTGTAAAGCTGATATGTGGCAAAGTGACCAGTTTATTGCCACCCAAAAGGACAGTTGGTATGCTTGGAATAAAATTAATGGTTTTAAGAGCATTATCCCGGAGATCCAGAGTTTGTAGTTTTTTCAGCAATCTAAATGTTTGGTCTTGAATGATCCCGATATGATTCTTTTGAAGATCAATGTATTCTATGCTAGGTAGCCCATTGAAGTTGGAATTATAAAGTTCCCCCAAAAGATTACATGACATATTGAGAAACTGGAGGCTGTCAAGCCCATTAAATGCATTATCTGCGATCTTGTTTATCTTGTTGGAGGCAAGGTTCAGAAACCTCAAGTCCTTCAGTTTCTCAAACACTAGAGAATTCAAAGAGAAGATGAACCCATGTGAAAGGTCCAGGTATGCCACCAAACTTTTAGCCAGGCCGGCAAATGTGTTCTGGTCAGGATCTTTTATGTTCTGGAAGCCAAACCCAGAGCCCATTATGTGGTACGTAAGAATCAAAGATGAAATCTGGCTTCCCTCGATGGTCTTGCTGAAGTTCCCTGTGATAGCCGCGGTCCAGCCATTGCTAGAAAGATCAAGCGTTTCTAGCCATATGCCTTTGAACGGGTTCTTGCATCCCCCCCAGTCCACAGAGACCCTGCTGAACAAGCTTGTTGACTTGAGGCCGAAAAAAGAGAGTGTTTTCCCTTGCAGAGGCTGGAGCTCCTCATTACAGATGGTGAATATTTGATTGAAAGAAAAATCTATAGACTTTAAGGAATTCAATTCCTGAAATGAAGAATTAAGGCAAAGGCTATGAATTTGGTTTTTGGATAGGTCCAAGTGGGCTAAAGAGTCGAGATTTCGGAAATAATCATTGCTTAACACAGCATCGGAGAGACCACAGGAAAACAGTCGAAGTTCAAAAAGATGGGACAGTCCTTGAAAGGCATCTGGATGTAAGACTTTGATCTTGTTCTGGCCCAGGTCCAAGATCCTAAGATTAGGAAGGTTTCTGAAGGCTTCCTGGCCAATAGTCAAGGGTGTAAACTGGGTCCCCAGCTCCAGAAGCCGGAGCTGCTCCAGGAAGGGGAATGACGTGGCATTGACCATACTGATGTAGTTGAAGCTAAGCAGGAGGTTCTCAGTGGTGTTGAGGACCGGGGGAATCTGGCTGAGGTTGCAGAAGCGAAATAAGGCTATCGGGCCCTCACAGGAGCAGGGAGAGAGTCCCAGCACAGGACTGACCACGAAGATCACTCCTATGAGAAGGTCAAGGTGATCTGCCATGATCCTGTAGGGAAGCAGGAGAATGAAGACACAGACAGCTTCTTAGCCCAAGGCTCTAACAGGAGTCCTCAACTCCTGGGGGTCTTCTCTGTCATCTACCAACTCCCTTGAGACCCTTTGCTCAACTGACTCCACGAACGCGCTGCTGGCAGATTCTGCTTGGTATAGCCAAAGTTGTCCCACTTCTTACCTAACACTTAATGCTGCATGCTTACACACTGGATACCAGTGCTTTAAAAACATTTCACCCGAGCTGGAGATGTAGCTCAGCGGTAGAGCATTTGGTAGCATGTACCAGGTCCTGGGCTTGGTCCACAGCACGACAAAAGATGCAAGCAAACCAGATGTCACTTTTTAAAAATTTTATTTATTATTTTTATTTTATGTGTATGAGTGTATTGCCTGCATGTAGGTAAGTGCACCCGTGTCCTGCAATGCCCGCAAAGGTCAGAAGAGGCTGTTGGATCCCCTGGGACTGGAGTTATGGACAGTTGTTAGCTGCCATGTGGGTGCTGGGATTCGAACCCGGGTCTTCTGCAAGAACAACCAGCGTTCTTAACCGCTGAGCCATCTCTCCAGCCCCCTCGCTTATTCTTTATAATACCTTACTCTATGTTCATTTGTTCAAGATTTGCTGGAGGAAGTTGAAAAATGTGCAAGAAGAAGCATATTTTTGCTTTAGTTCACCCAGGTAGCCCCATTCCTCACCTACAGAAGCTCAGGGAATGAGTGGATAACAAACCAGCTGATTTTCACTCTAATCTGCCTGGGCCTCCAGCCCAACTCCGCTGAATCCATACGCTGTATACCTTGTTATACAGGCACTGGGCACTCTCGTGTGTCTCCACAAAGCGTCAGATTTAATCAGCTTAAATAAATTGATGAAGCACCTGCTGCCTGCCTGACACACGTGACTGTGTGAATGCAGAAACACGCCCACCTGCTGAATTCAGTTCAGTGTGGGAGCTCTCACCATCCATCTGGGTGGAGTGTTTTTCAATATGTGTAACAGCAGCAGCAAAAGGCAACCCACAAACGTGTCCAGTATATGTTCCAAGCACTGTGCTAGGTGCTGTGGGAGTACAGAAAAACAATTCACAAGGACCTGACTCTCAGGGTGCTTAGCGTCTATCATGTGCACAGTTCCTCCATCTTTGGCTCCCGGAACACACTTGATCCGTTCTCAATGTAATAAAAGGCCTCTCTTGGAAGGTGCTGTTTCAAAAATGTGCCCAAAGGCCCAGGTGTTAAAGGATTCATTGCCAGCCTGTGGCACCACCGGGGGGTTGTGGAGCCTCTAGGAAGTCCTAGTGGAAGAAAGTTAGGTCATGGGGTTGTGCCTTTGAAAGGGTAATCATAACCCTTCCTCTCTCTCTCTTTTGCTTCATGAAGGCCACCACAAGGTGAGGTGCCTCCTTGGCCATGGATTCCTGCCATGACACACTGGATTACCACAGATCAAAATTGATGGTGCCCATAACCATGGTCTGACCCTATGAAACTGTGAGCCAAAATAAAAATTTCCTCATCAGTTGTTTACCTCAGGTATTTTGCCATAGTCATAAAAAGCTGACACAGGAAATGAGGAAGTGTTCAGAGGGCAGGAGGATATATCAGGAAGACAGTGGCTTAGAAGGACCATGAGCCCCCATCACTGGCAACAGCTTCAGTGGATCAAGTGCAGAGCTGACATGGAGCTGGAGCTTCCAGCTCCCATGAAGCTTTGCTTTGTGTTGGGGATGATTTGGGGATTTCCACAGAAGACCTGAGACCACGGCAAATGAAATATAATAGATCGGAAGTGGGCAGCAACTTCTGAACTGGCCCAAAATATCAAAACCAGGGGGCTGGAGAGATGGCCCAGTGGTTAAGAGCAATGGCTGTTCTTGCAGAGGACCTGGGTCCGATTCCCAGAACGCACATGGCAGCTAACAACTGTCCCTAACTCCAGTTCCATGGGAATATGATGCCCTCTTCTGACCTTTGCCAGCATTGCATCACATGGGTGCATTTACATACATTCAGGCAATACACTCATACACATAAAAAAATAATATTTAAAAAAAACAAAATATCAAAACCAGACTTTTAATAACCATTAGGAAATACTGGTAAGACTATTCATCATCACCTTTTTTAAAACTATCTTTTTGTTTGAGACAGGGTCTCCCTGTAGCCCCAGCTAGCCCAGAACTTTCTATGTAGACCAGGCTGGCTTCAGTCTGATAGAGATCTGTCTGCCTCTGCAGTGCTGGGATTAAAGGTGTATGCTGCCATACCTGGCTTTTTCCTTACTTTTTATTTTGAGGCAGGATCTCAGGTTGGCTATGAACTTGCCATATTCCTGTGTCGGCCTCTCAAGTGTCTGGGATTACAGGCTGCCCATGCCACTAGGTTTAGCTATATTATTGCTCTTAATTTTTCTGTCATCTCAGTAAATGACTCCATTGTCTCAGAAGTTCAGGGCTACCACAGCTTGCGTACGCGTGTGCCTACGTGCATGTGTATAAGCCGGAGGAGGACGCCTCCTCTTTCACGGTCCATCTTATCTCCTTGGGATGGGGTCTCTCTCTAAATCTGGAGCTAGGGTGGCAGCCAGCAAGCCCCAGAGTTTCTCCTGTCTGTGCCCTCACAGCACTGAGGTTACAGGTAGGTGTACCTGGCCATGCTTAGCTTTTTAAAAGAATAGGTTCTGCGGACCTGAACTCAGGTCCTGATGTCTGCAAAGCAAGCACTCTTACACACTGAGCCATCTCCCTAGTCCACTCTCTTTCTCTTAAATATCATCCCACATCCAGCCCATCAGCAAATTCTGTAGGTTCTGCCTCCCAGGCCTGTCCCCTGCTCTCTTCTAAGCCGCCCTCATGTCTAGTCTGGGCTGTCCCCTGTCTCCTCTTTGGTCTGTGTCTGTTCCAGTTTTGCTCTCCATCCTTGAATGGAAACCTGAAGGAAAGAATGTGGAGAGCTTGGATATTCTAGGGCATGGGGGAGTTCCAGCCACACAGCGTTTCCATCTGCCATTCTGACTGCAGGGCCTTGGTACATGGTACTTCCTCAACATGAACTCTCTTCTCTCTGTTCCTCGTGCAGCCAAAACCCCCATCAACAGCCTTCCCTCAAACTCACGTTTTGGAATAACTCTCTTGTCCTTCTGTTCTCTAAAATCCCGCCTTGTACCAGGTATGGTGGTACATGTTTATAATCTCAGCACTTGGGAGGTTGAGGCAAGAGGATTGCTGTGAATTTGAGGCCGATGTGGGCTATATAGCAAGACCTTGTTTCAAAAATGAAACAAATGAAAAACAAAACAAAAAGTCACTTCATTTATTTTTATCAAATCAACTAAGTCTTTAATTTTATATTTGTTTACTTATTTTCTGTCTTTCCTGATAGACTATGTTCTTCAAAGTGAGGGATATGTGAGAGAGAGGAGGGGAGAGGAGAGGGGAAGGGAGGGAAGGGGAGGGGAGATAAGGTGAAAGGGAGGGGAGGGAAGGGGGGACAGGATGGTTTGGGAATCAGTAAATGTGTGGGAAGCAGGCAGACCCACCCTGTGTGGCTCAGGCACATACGGGGCATGCTGGGAGGATCTGAGGGCATGTCTACAGTGGGTGGCTGTGGACAACCTTGAAAGCCGCAAGGCTTTCGATTTTCTAGACTCACGTGTTAACTTTGAAACATAAAAGCTCTCAAAAAAATGGGAGGAGAGGGGAAGGGAGGGGAGGGAGAGAGGGAGAGAGAAGATGAGAATAAATTGTCTTGTTATACTTTCTATATAAAGTAGTGGCTCTTGGTGGGAACACTGCCCCCTAGGGAGCATCCTGTAAATTTATACGTGTGGCTTTTAGGTTGTCACAATGATGGAGATCCATACCCCTGGGAATTGGGGATGCTGATGTTCATGACAGTCCAGCACTCTGCAGAATCAGTGGCACCCACATAGGTATAAGCTACCTTGCCGAACATCTTGCCAGGCCCTACCCCAAATGACCTCATGGTGCACAGGCCAACCAAGTGTGTTTACATGCCCTTTCAGTGTATACTGAAACTTCCAGGAACACAAAAAGCTGTCAGTCTAGGGATGATCGTATCTTGTTCAGTTTGTAGCTTTACAATGTGTCATTCACCATGTCAGAAAATCCCTGCAGCGGCCAGTGCTGCTGGGAGAATCAGGAACGCACAGCGTACAGCACCCACCTGTGTTTATGTGTAAGCACATTTATTTGGCCTTTGTTTCAGAACGTCAAGCATAACAAATAGTCTGAGAAGTGCCTGTTGAATATTATCCTTCTCTATAACAAGTAGATGTGAATGCATGACTGACTCATTCTGTCTTCCAGTGTAGCCTTATCCGACCTCTCACACATGGAAAAGCAGTCACTCGTCGTAAATTCCCCTCCCTTTCAGTTCTGTTTTAATATTCCTGTCAGGGCATTATTCTGATATCTTTAAAATTATGAGCATAGGAAAATGTGTTATAATTATGAGTTTCCTTTCAACATAGCAAAGGGGTCATTTCCAATATTCGCTATAAGATGGGGTCTGGATCTGACAGTGTTGTAACCCAGGGAAGGAAAGCTTCTGGTTCTTTCTTTCTACATTCATTCATTATAGGCAGCCTGATGATGTAAACCAAGAATTCTATAAATCATTTTTATTCTTTACATATACATAATTTATGGTTGTTTTTGTCCCCCCACCCCTTTGAGATAGGGTCTCATGTATCTTAGACTGGCCTCAAAGGTGCTATGGAGCTGAGGATGACCTTGAACTTCTTATCCTCCGGCTTCCACTTTCTAAGTGCTAGGATTACAGGTGTGCCTTACCACACCTGGTTTATGCAGTGCTGGGGACTGAGCTCAGGACACTGTGCATGCTAGTGAGCTATATTCTCAACCCTGTTTGTTTTTCTTGGGGATGGTCAGATTGGATAATAGAAACTAAGTGGCCTCTTTCTCTCATAATGAATTTCCTCTGACTTTGAATGGGTTGTAGAGTGAATGA